TTAGATGAAACTGACAACAGTTTTGATGAATTCGAAGAAAATTACTACATGGTAAAAGTAGCTTTCAAGGGAATTTTGGATACAAATAAGAATCTTGCAAGGCCTGATTTGAATCATTCAAGTTCTGGTAGTTCATTTGGCAATGTGTCACAAGAATCAAATTTTTTAAAACTTCCTAAATTCAATTTACAACCATTTGATGGAAAATATGAAAATTGGGTTTCATTTTACGACCTATTCCAATCAACGATTCATGCAAATCAATGTTTATCAGATGTGCAAAGGTTTTTCTACCTCAAGTCATGTTTGAAAGGGGAACCTTTAAATCTCCTTTCAACTTTGCCCCTGACTCAGTCCAACTACTTAGTTGCGATTGAACTCTTAAAAGAGAGGTATTGCAACAAGAAAATAATTGTTAACACTCACCTTAAAGCTTTGTTTTCACTGCCCAATGTAAACTCACTATCAGATTTGAAATCTTTATTAGACATCACCAATGTAAATGTGAGGGCATTAAACAACCTTGGGTACAAGACTGAGGAGTGGGATGTATTACTAGTTCATTTGCTAACATCAAAATTATATCAAAATTTAAGAACCAAATGGGAATTGAGTAATACAACCAAAGAAGTAGGCACTTTCATACAATTGGAACAATTTCTTAATCAGTATATTCAAGCTTTAGAAACTAGTCAAGACAACAGCAAAGGTACTAATGTATTTAGACACATTAGAACAAATTCAACTGAAATATCTAAAGGTACTACACAGAGTTGTCCTTTATGTGTACAAGATCATCCCTTGTTTAAATGTACAGAATTTTTAAGTCTCAAACCTTATGATAGAATTCAAAAGATCAAACAGCTTCATAGATGTTTTAATTGCTTATCAGCTACTCACATGGTTGACACTTGCAAAGCATCCAAATGCAAGGTCTGCTCCAGAGCTCACAATACCTTATTACATATCTCTAAAGAGTATATGCCAGAATTAGACCCTAAAGTTAGTTCTAAGCATAAACTTGACACAGGATTTCAAGCTAAGCCCAAACCTGAAGTTAGCTCACACAACAGTGGTTCCAGCAAATCAGAAGAAAAGAATAATCCAAAATGTAGTAATAGTACAAAACTATTATCAGCAGGCATTGGTTCTCCTACAAGAGTGATGCTGTCCACAGCCAGGATCAAGGTAAAGAACTGCTGGGGTGAGTATCAATACTGTAGGGCTTTGATAGATCCCGGGAGTGAGGGAAGCTTCATTTCTCAAACCTGTTTTCAAAAGTTAGGATTATCACGACAACCATTCAACGTTTTAGTCCACGGAGTAGGTAACAGCCATGCTGGTTATACACGAGGATTAACGTCACTTTTCATTCAAACCAAGCAAGATACAGACATTCAAGTTACAGCATACATCTTGAACAAGCTAACTAACGTTTCCTCACTCAACACATCCTTTGATCATTGGTTTCACATTCAAAACCTTGAACTTGCTGATCCATACTTCTACCAATCAGGTCAAATAGATATCATTCTAGGAGCTGACATTTACGTAGATCTATTGATAGATGGTATAGTTAGAGGTCCAGAAAACACTCCATCAGCTATCAATTCCAAACTAGGTTACTTGTTGTCAGGAAGATTATCAGATCCATCATCTGAAGGTATTCATTTATTCACATTATCTATTCAAAACAATGACATAAACACTGCAGTAGAGCGTTTTTGGAAGATAGAAGAGGTCAGTCATGAACCTACTTCTCAATTGCAAGATAATGACATTTGTGAAAATCGTTTTCTGACCACACATTCTCGAGATGAATCTGGAAGATTTTGTGTTTGTCTTCCTTTTAAACCATCAATTACTGAGCTTGGTGATTCTTATTCAACAGCATTAAGCAGATTTAAAGGTTTAGAATCGACACTCACTTCTGACAAACATGAAAGTTATCAGTCTTTCATGAAAGAATACAGTGATTTAGGTCACATGCATCAAACACCCACAGAATTATCGTCCATTGACAGTAACAAACACTACTATCTACCTCATCATGCAGTATATAGAGATTCGAGTTCAACAACTAAAACCAGAGTTGTTTTTGATGCATCATGCAAAACAACATCAGGTACATCATTGAATGATCATCTGTATACTGGTCCAAAACTTCAAACTGACATAATGAATTTGCTAATTAGATTTCGATTGCATAAAATTGTATTTACGGCAGACATTGAGAAGTTTTACAGGCAAATTTTAGTGAGCAAATCTGATCAATGCTATCAAAGAATACTTTGGAGATCATCACCAGAAGAACCGATTAAGTCTTATGACCTTAACACAGTTACTTATGGAACATCATGCGCACCATTCTTATCCATACGTTGTTTACATCAACTATCTGACCACATTAAGGATTATTCTCCTGAAGTGGCTAGGATATTGAAAGAAGACTTTTATGTTGACGATCTTGTAAGTGGAGCCAATACTGTAGATCAAGCTTTATCCATAAAAAATGAACTAGTTCGAACACTAAATCAAGCAGGGTTTCCATTGCGCAAGTGGTCATCTAACGCCAAAGAAGTTCTAGATGAAATAACACCAAGTCAAACCATTTTTCAATTTCAATCAGAAGACTCTTCAGTCAAACTATTAGGACTTCTGTGGAATCCCGAAAGTGATACTTATCAGTATTCAATTAATTTACCTGACTTACCAAGCAAAATAACTAAACGTAAAATTTTATCTGAAATTGCCCGTCTATTCGATCCATTAGGTCTATTGTGTCCAGTAATAACCAAAGCAAAACTCATCATGCAAAAAACCTGGTTATGCAATAATGGTTGGGATGAGACAGTTTCTGATGAATTATCTAATGAATTTGTTCAATATTGTAACAATTTGTCACACCTCAAGAATCTTCAGACACCCAGACCATTAGTTTTATTTGGGTCTGAAGTTATCTATGAATTATTTGGTTTTTGCGATGCTTCAGAAAAGGCATACGCTGCAGTCTTATACCTCAGAAGTGTTTCAACATCAAATGTACAAGTTCAATTGATCTGTGCTAAGTCAAGAGTATGTCCACTTAAGAAAGTTTCAATCCCCAGGCTGGAGTTATGTGGCGCAGTGCTATTAGCTCAACTAGTTGACAAAGTAAAACCAATTTTACCTACCTCAAACACTTATTTATTTACTGACTCTACAGTTGTGCTGGCATGGATTTCAAAACCCCCAAACACATGGAAAACATTTGTAAGCAGCAGAGTGTCACAAATTCAATCCCTCACCAACACATCAGATTGGAATCACATTTGTTCAGAAGATAATCCTGCTGACCTAGCATCTACAGGTGTCTTAGGAAACAATTTTATCAATCAGGATTTGTGGTGGTTTGGACCTTCATATCTGTTGGATAAAAATATGAAAATAAATGAATCTATTCATAATGAAAATGCATATGTACCTGAAAGAAGATCCGTCAAATGTGCTTTACTTATGGAAAACAGTACTGATGAGTGGTATTTAAAATTTAGTTCATACACCAAAGCCATCAGAGTTACTGCTTATTGCCAAAGATTTATAAACAATCTCAAACAGCCTGTACAAAATGGACCACTTACCCCAAATGAATTAGACAATGCTCTTCTATGTATTGTCAAACAAATTCAAAAAACTTTCATATGTTTGCAGAAGAAGAAATGTGTGAAACCCAACAGTAAACTTTCAAGTTTAAATCTATTTTTAGATGACAATGGAACAAGTTTTGTTGGACCAATCAACAAGTTGTTAAAAAGTTCCCACTAAATCACTTTTTTGCGGGGGAGTTATGTTAAAAGCATTTAATTTCATCCCTTGGTCTGTTTATACAGTTTTCTCTTGTACTTTTGTTATTAACACATGTTATTTATCATTATTAATTTTTGTAAACAGTTTTCAATAATAATACACATTCTTTTGTTCACATCACAGTGTTTTTAATTTAATCTACATTTTTTCTATTAAATAATCATTTCAAGAACATCAGTTCACAACAAAACAAACACATATAAATTGCATAACATACAAGGTATACTCTGAGACATTGTCTTGCCAAATAAATTGTTTCACCAAGATATAAGGTACACACTGAGAGACATAGCCTTGACATATAAATTGCATAACATACAAGGTATACTCTGAAACATTGTCTTGCCAAATAAATTGTTTCACCAAGATATAAGGTACACACTGAGAGACATAGCCTTGCCATATAAATTGCATAACATACAAGGTATACTCTGAGACATTGTCTTGCCAAATAAATTGTTTCACCAAGATATAAGGTACACACTGAGAGACATAGCCTTGCCATATAAATTGCATAACATACAAGGTATACTCTGAGACATTGTCTTGCCAAATAAATTGATTCACCAAGATATAAGGTACGGTATTCTTTTTTGTGAAGTTGAGTGAGTTGTAAATTTGACCTTCAGTTTTTATTACTGAGACGAGATTAATGACTTATAATATCACAATAGTGAATAGTTTACAATTCATATTATAGTTTATGTATATAAAAATGAAAATTACTTAAACTTCAATCTTAATATTTATTTATTAAGTACTTGAATAATGTCAAACTATCCGAATCCGAAAATATCCAAATTCGAACCTCTAATTATCCAATCCGATCCGAACCAAGCCTTAACTATTGGATCCGAACTGAAATTTCACTATCCGCACACCCGTACTTTTTAGTGCTAAAAGTTTATCCCGATCCGACAAATAGTATGTGAAATACATAATTTAAAAGAAATCCTTTGCCGCCATATTGTTGATGTCATAGTTGGAAAACGAGGGGAATAGGAGGTAAACACCCTGGTTTTTAAACTCCCTAGACATTAAACTAAAATGTTATGCAATAATATTTAGTATACGCAAGTTTGCACATCAAAGTATTGTCAGCTGCTAGACTACTATCCTTTATGTGCAAGAAATTAATTGAATTTTTTTTACAGCTGACAAATTATCTATTTTGTCATGTCTGGTTAGCCAGATTTTGACTTTTGCTGCTATCCGCGATCGCATTGATGAAAGTATGGACAAAATAAAACAAGGCAGAGTAGAACTCAGAACCCTGAGTGGCAATGACAGGAGGAGAGAACAAGAAGCTGTTCAGAAGTGAGTTAAACCTTAATATTTTAATGTATTTTAGCTATTTTTTGTAACATTTTTTCTTTAAATTTTACATACACATATAAATACGAAGAGAAACAATCTTATTGAAGCATACTTTTTATTTATAAACACTTGAGTTGTTCTAGGTTTCAAAATCAATCAAAGTTTATATAGGTATTGAGAGAATTGTGTTACACTCTGCAGGTTCAAGGATGGAGAGTGGACAGCAGAGCAGCTAGAACATGAGAGAGAACTGTTGCATCGTCGTAAGCAAGACCAAGGTCGTAGAGCGCGTGAGTTGAGTGAGGAGAACCAAGCCAACCAGGTGCTGCCGCTGGGGATAGACCGAGCATACCGCCGCTTCTGGGTGTTCCCTGCGGTGCCGGGCTTGTTTGTAGAGGACAACGAGCTACAGGCTGGCATCTGCTTACCTAAGTATGTATTAAAATATAATATATTTAAGCACTTTGTAATAGTTGTATAAATGTATTTATAGCTCATATTTGACTTTATTAAATACACATGTGTTTTTATGTAAAACAAAAAGAATGATTTGTTATTGTGCCTGTGATTCTAATTACGTTTAATTATTGTCTACATAAATTTGTAAATGTGGTGGTCACAGGATTCAGCTAATAATAGGTATGTAACAAACCAGATTGTAAATGTATGTTATTTCTAACAAATGCATTGGTCTATTGGTTTACTGCAAGTAAATCTCTGCTTTTAGAGGTACGCCAGCCTTGGATTTAGGGCTCATTGAAGGCGAGGATCCAGAAATCTATGTCAAAAGGCTTTTTGAAGAAGTAAGCAATAAAGAAAACTTAATGAAGACACCTTCAAAGGCACAAACTACTCCTACTAAAACTCCCTCTAAAAGTTCTCTGAAGTCACCCGGCAAAGGAGCAACAACGCCTGGCAAGAAAACAGTTGTGGAAAGAAGGCCCCTGACTTGCTGGGGAGATCAACAGGTAATAAACAATTTGTTTTATTTGTATTCTCATTTTATTAATATATAAAATGAAATGCTCATGGAAAAAGTCCTCTAAAATGATGTCTCTGATGTGTCGATACCAAAATTTATTGATTCTCAATATCAATATTCCTACCGGTACCTGAAAAATTGATACTGATACAATTTTTTTAGTTTTGCCAAAATTTCTGAATATATTGGTTATACTACACCAACCTGTCTTTATGTCCCTCCATCAAGTTTTTTTAGGGTGATGAGGTGTTTTCAAGTAAAGTAAAAATGAATGTAGCAATGAAAAGTTCTAACTAGCCAATCTAAGTTTAAACCCTTCTAACCACATAAAATAAAATGCCATATCCAAGGTAAATGGAGTTATTAAAAGGTACAAAATATGAGGGTTGTTTTTTTTTTCAACCTCCGATAGGCTATGAACAAAAGACAAGTTCATATAAAACATTAAATTTATTACCAAAAGTTTGGTCCATTTATGGTTACTTTTTGACATAATCCCCAAAGAGATTGAGACATTTGCTATATCTGTGCACCAGCTTTTTAATACCCTCTTCAAGAAAAGTGGCCGCCAATACATTCAAAAAACAAAAAAATTCAAAAAAACAAAAAATGTCAAAAGTAATAAAAAAATTAATAAAAAATAAAAAAAAGGACTTTAAAATTTCTAGAAATTCAGTAAACAAATCAATAATGGTGAATCTGTGGTTTATTTAACCATTCTGCCAACTTGTTGAACCAGCTCATTACTGTCGTTTCAGATGACACATTTTTTACTCTTTTGAGAATATGGAAGCATTTCTGGCTCTCTTAATATTTTCAGGCAAATAGTTAAAAATTCTTGGAGCGATATATGAGAAAGAATTACTAAAACATGTTCTCCCAGACCTAGGAATACAATAATTTAAACCAGAATGTAAACTATCTCTATTAATATTCTAATTGGCATATTTCCACTTCTGCAGTAGAACACATTTAATACCTTATAAAATGTACAAATGCCTTAAGGGTAAAACCTTAAAACTAAAATACAAAGGTCGAGAGTGCTCAAATTTCTTTTTTTAAATCAGTCTAATAAACCTTTCATGGGCAATCTATAAGCTTGTAAATTGGACTCATAAGTAGCTCCTAACAAATTATAGCATACAGTATTCCAGTCTACTTTGTACCATAGAAAAATAACATTTTTTAGAGGGGTCTCTAAAGGAACTACTTTTGTTCAATGATATAGGCCAGGATTTTGAATTAATAAGGGGAATAGTAGCTAGCTTACCTTGAAGAAGTACAGGTAGGTCATAGAACATACAGAAGAGAAACTTAACACACAATATTTCGTTCCCAAGGGGGGAATATTTGGAAATATTGTGTGTTCAGTTTCTCTTCTGTATGTTCTATGACCTACCTGTACTTCTTCAAGGTAAGCTAGCTACTATCCTCCTTATTCTACAAATCTAAATCTAAAGGTGGACTATTTCATTGAGAAAACAAATATTCTTAAGACAAAGCTCATTTTTTTTGTAGGTGCGAAATGTAAGCCTTCAATGTTAACAGCTTGTCCAAATATAATAAACCTAGATACTTCGTAGAGTTGACTCTTTTTACAGAAGAACTATTTTTACTGCTACAACTGAGCAGTACAGTAGTTAGTAAGCCTATATACAGGGTGATTGGAAAGTCTGGGTACGGCTTAATATTTTGAAAAATAATAAACGTAGACCTACAAAACTTGGAATCAAGTAACAAGGCATATAAATCTATCTTAACACATATCCAGTGATCCGCTACCTCCTCAGGGGGACGGCCCGCCAGGAGTCAGGAGAAGATCTTAAATGTAAGCATAGGTTGATATGCACATCAAATTAAAGGTCTATTTTTGTAGAATACAACGCCGCAAACTGCACTTCAAAAGGTTGATCCTGCGCAAAATGACAGTTGTCACTCAGGGCCGTCCCCCTGAGGAGGTAGCGGATCACTGGATATGTGTTAAGATAGATTTATATGCCTTATAACTTGATTCCAAGTTTTGTAGGTCTACATTTATTATTTTTCAAAATATTAAGCCGTACCCAGACTTTTCAATCACCCTGTATATACACTAATTCATCAAAAGTATTTTCATTAGACTTCAAAGAAAAATTTATAAAATTAGTAATTAAAACGGTTCTATTTTTTATTAATTTCATCAAATCTTCCTCTTTGACAGTCTTATTTTGATCACAATTTGTGTACCTATATAACATTTTTGTGGGCAAATGAAAACAATCTGCCTTTGAATTTTTCATTACAAAGACTATTTATTTACGTACACTATGTAACAATTCAATATTTCCACTGATATTTTTCAATAGAATGATTTAATTTTTACCATATGTTCTTATTTTTATCAATATGTCAATCCATCTCCCCTTATCAAACCTTGTAAAATATATGTCCAAACAGACCACCAATAGGTAATTGTTCCAATACAATATAAAATATAAAATTTTCAAATAACCTAATTTCATGTACATATATAATAGCCTATAACTTTTTGTAACAAAATTGCTTCAAATTCAATATAAATTTACTTAAATAACTTTTCAAAATTCAAATTTAACTCTCTAGTAATTGAACATTGTTATAATATATGTGTGAACAGTGGCCTACAATTTTCTGTGATTAAGTCAGCATTGACATGTGTGAATGCAACAATGCATCAAACCTTCATCACTTCCAAGAGAGCTGAGCTAGTATGAAGATATAAATTGTAAACTGTCTATTTTAATATCAAAATTTATAAAAAAGTGCCTATATTTGAACCTAAATTAGTGAAATTTGATTGAAGAGGAAACGTCCTTGTTAAGAACATTAATAATTACTATATCAAGAAATTTACCGTAAAGAAGACATCAATTTTGGTGAGATCACTCCAGTAGACATTTTCTTTCCTTGGAAGCCATTAGAACATTTTTAGGCCTAATTTTTGGAACATTTAAATACGAACATTCAAAGTCAAGAAACTAATAGAAGCTTATTCAGAACTTTAATTAATTCAACCACACAGAAAATAATTCGAATATAATTTATATTTCAAACAAAATTTAATTAGGCTATTTAATCACAAGATTAAATTCAAACGCCGCTCGATCACCCCCACCTGAGATAAAGATCCATGCAATATAACACCTGAACCCAAATTAGAACTATTGTAATAGGCCTAGCCTAAAGCTTTTAAAGTAAATTCATTCCCCACTCTTTGTAAACTTTATTGTGAACCCTTTCCTTTCTTTTGTCATCAATTTTGTATTGTAATTCAATAAATTTAAGTTTAAGATACTGTACATGGAGTTTCCATTGTATTATTTAGCTTAAAGGTTGATTACAACTAAAAGAAGGATAGGGCCTTAAACTGTGCCTTGGGGCACCCCATCTTTAGTTACCTTTCATTTGCCCATATAATCTCCTAATTTTACACACTGCTTTCATCCTATCAGATACATGTCCTATCAGATTGTAACTACGGGACATGTTGGCGAAGGAGCTGTGACCGCGGGACATGTTGACGATAGTGCCGTGACCGCGGGAAATGTTGACGATGGTGCCGTGACCACGGGACATGTCGATGACGGTTCTGTGACCGCGGGACTTGTTGATGACAGTGCAGTGACTAATGGACCTGTTGACGATGGTGCTGTGACTACGAGACATGTTGGCGATGGTGCTGTGACTACGAGACATGTTGGCGATGGTGCTGTGAATGCAGGACATGTTGACGATGGTCCTGTGACTACGAGACATGTTAGTGATGGTACTGTGAGTGCAGGACATGTTGACAATGGTGCCATGACCGCGACATTATGTTGACGATAGGGGTCTGCGGTGCACAAAAAAGTCGGTACGGTTCGGTTCTAGCTTAATTACCATCATCAGTTCGGTACAGCAGTTTATGGGTACAAACTCAGTTCCATACAGCCTATTATAATAATAAATTACTTTTAGTTTACTATCAACAGCAGTTGGTTCCAGCACATAAAACAAAAGGCTTATCAGATGTTTGTTTACGATCTTCATAATTTATTACCAGGGTAGTTATGCAATAAAAAAAACATTAGCAGTCCCAAATCCATTAATATTTTATCACGACAATAATTGTTGTATTAAAGTACTTCCAAGAACTCTGAGTTTTATCTCGTTTAATCCTTTATGACTTTAATTTTAGCGAATTTCCCTATAGGGAAGTAGCTATTACCGTAGGTGGCACGGTAAGACTTAGGCCCGGGACCGATTTACTTATTCATTTTGATGTCCCTAGAGGCCAAAAACACCATTCGTTCAAATTTTTATATATGTATATATATATATATATATATATATAGATTTATATATATATATATATATATATATACGTCCGTGAACGCGATAACTTGAGTAATTTTTGTCCGATTTTGATGAAATTTGGTTTAAAGGTGTAAGGCAGGATAAACTTGAATGAGTTCGCGAACCAGCATGATCGGACCATGGGAACGGGGTTTTACGGGAGGTTTTATGGGGTAAAAAATGGTTTTTCTCATTTTTGACCCTCAAAACACAAAATTACCCAATTTCTCTCTAGACCTTTTTAAAGAGCTTAAAAAAACAAATAATTTAGTATATCAAAGTGTTTTTGTACGATTATTGGTAACGGAGAAAATTCAAAAATTGTAAATTTTAAATTCCCATGTTATTCTTATGGAGAATATTGTAAACTGTGGTATTTTGCTTGTTTATGGATATATTTTGATCAAACTTGGCAAATTTATTTATTTTACACTAAGCTATTAATATTTTACTAAAAAATACACTTTCCGTTATTAGTTTCCTTGTAGCAGCAAACCTAGGTACTCATTAAGTCTAATGTTATTTAAATAAATTTAATTGAAAATCAATTCAGACAAATGGAAATTCGCTTGGTCGGCAGGTTTGCTGCGGCGGGGGTATTTATTATTAGCCTAGTAATTATTATGATATCCC